TGGCACTGCTGGGAATGGTTGGACTGGATGACCTTAAAGGTCTTTTCCAACCCAGTTGATTCCATGATTCCAGCAGCTCTGAGGTGTCAGTGGTTGGCAGCAGCCTCCTTGCTGCAAGGACACTGGGCTGGCACTGGGGTTGGATAAGGCTCAGGGCTCATCCCTGCCTGTACCTTCCCATAGCAGGTTCATGCGAGGCCAAGCTCCTGGGCTCCATCCCAGGACACACAACGGCACATTTGATGCCGATGCCCCTGCCTGCGGATCCAGCAGGGTGCTGCATGGGTTGGGTGGGCTGGGTGAGCACCCACCACATGGAGGATCCCTCCAACCCTCAGGTCTGCAGGGGCTGGGATACCCACTGAGCATCCTTGGTAGGAGATCACCAGTCTGCTGCTGCTGGGGGTGGAAAGGATAGAAAGCAATTGGGGTTTGGTTTCTAAACCCAAAGGATTTGGGTTTAGGTGCCGGGAAGCACGAAGAGGGGGAGTTCTGGCATTGCCGCATCACTGGGAGACTGGGGATTTCCACGGAGAACAGTGGGAGTGAATCCTCCCCGGTGACATCCCCCATGCCTGCTGACTGTATTCCACATTGTAGCTTGCTAGAAGAGCCTCAGATGACCTGGAGCTACATAGGAAGGTGGTTTCATCCATCAAGCCCCCCCAAAAGCCGTTCTCCCCACTGTGAGCAGCCACAGAGTGAGCTGGAACCCATTTCCTGAGCCCTCTGGGATGGCATCATAGAATCACAGAATGGTTTGGGTTGGAAAGGACCTCAAGATCATCTAGTTCCAATCCCCTGCCATGGACAGGGATGCCTCGCACTAAACCGCATCACCCAAGACTCCATCCAACCTGGCCTTGCGCATCCTTGGACCAGAAGCGGGCTGGTGGAGCAGGGCACATCCTCAGCATGGACACCCCAACCACGGGCTGGGGATGCTCAAATCATCTACTGAAGCATCAGCAGCACATGAAGTTCTGCTCTTTTCCATGCACGAGCTGTAATTTAGTAGCTCAGGGAGGGGTGGAGAGACACAGAGAGGAAGAGGAGGAGCGTTACCTGCGACAAGCGTCCGACCTCCAGGTAGAAGCAGATGATGAAGGCGTTCCAGCCGACCCACAGCACCAGCCACACCGCGTACTGCCAGGAAGAGAGGTGCTCAGGGAATGCCCAGTGGACATCCCCTGGTCCATCCCGCCTCCAATCCACTCAATGGATCCGGCTGGATCCGCAGCTTTGGATACAGGACGGGACCTGGGGCTGAGCCATCCCCAGGGGTGATGATGCTGCACCCGGGAACAGCATCTGCGGTGGTACCTACCACCATGAGGTATTTGGATCTGTACTGGATGGTCCCAAAAATGCCCAGGATGACGGCCATGATGTGTAGGAAATTAGCCAGGATGGGGGCCCACTGGTAGCCCAGGAAATCAAAGATCTGCCGCTCCAACGCTGCGACCTGCAAGAGAGCACAGGAAGGGGCAGGTATGAAAGCATCAGTCACCGCAGCATCCTGGGATGCAGGGAGCAAAGAGCAACTGGTAATTAATGGGAATTCCCATGGATAATTAGCTGCAATGGGCTGAAACATCCATGTGATGCTTTGGCTGGTGGTGGGTGAAAGCATGGTGGGGAGAAAGGGGTTACTCGGAATATCTGGAGCTAGAAGGGGAAAACAGGAGATGTCAGCTTGTACCCACCAGCACCCTCCATGCCTGTGTCCCCATTGCTCAAGTCTTGCGCGCTGCTAAAAATCACCCTTTGGGACGGGTTTATCTCTGAGATCAGCCTGTCCAGAGGGAAACCTGTTTGGCTCATGAAGGATGTCCTGGGTATCAGCCCTCCCATTTAACACTGGGGTTTGATTGCTCTTACCATTTATAATCCATAAATAAGGACTTGATGCAGCTTAATGAATCATACAACACACAAAACCAGAGCTGGTGGCTTCTGATGGGATCTGCCTTTACCCCAGCACTTATTTATGGCTCTATTTATACTGGCTCAGGGTCTATTACTCTTAATTACAGGATTAGCTTAAAGTAATGTGGTAGCAAAGGTGAGGTGGGAGGACCGGAGCATTTGTGAGCGGTTTTGAGGTAAGAAATGGAGACTGGATGAGGCTATGGGGTTTTAGGGAGCTTTTAGGGCTCTTCAGGGTGCATCAGATGCTGCAGCCCCTGAGGCCTGAGCTGCAGCAATCTGGGTCTTCAGAGCTTTGCAAACTAAAACCCCTCTTACATTTATCTTTGTGGCAGCCCAACCCCATCTCACTGCTCTTTGAGATGCCCCAGATTCACCCCATAGACCCTCCAGGGGCCCAGGTCCTCCCCGCAGCACTGTGCCTCAGTTTCCTCTCCCAGGGCAGAGCCCTTCATCCTGGCAGAGAAATGAGAGTTTATCCTGTGAATCACAAGAGAAAATGTGCTTTACCTCCCCTGCTGCGCTCACCAGCAGCTCCACACAGTGAGCTGGGTTTAGGGGAGCTCCACCCTGGCGCTCTCTGAAGCTCCCATGGGAAAACAAGGGCCCTGCAGCATCCTTACCCACCCAGCCCAACATAACATGTACTAATTACAGGGGGGCAATAAAGGAGGTGGCAAAAGTCCTTCCCTAAATGTTTGGTGAGGATGAGCCCCAGCTAATGCATCTACGTATGCAACTGCCAGCCCTGCCTCAGCCTCCCCTTACACACAGCATCACACACTTGTTGAACTGGCTTAGTGAGGGCTTTAATGAACACCTATTTCATACAATCATAGAACCACAGGGTGGTCTGGGTTGGATGGGACCTTAAAGCTCATCCAGTTCCAACCCCTGACACGGGCAGGGACACCTTCCACTAGAGCAGGTTGCTCCAAGCACCTGTGTCCAACCTGGCCTTGCAC